TGTCTCTAATAGCTAGAATTTTATCATTAAAGAAGCTCATGAAGTCGTAACTACTGAGAGCTATGGGAATACTTGGCTCAATAAAGCTGTGACTCTCTGTCAGCCTGGCTACAGTGCTGAAAAGAAACCTGGGGTTGTTCCTATTTTCCTCTATTAAGGACGAGTAGTACACTGCTCTGGCATTACGGAGGGCCTATAAGTTTTAAGACTATCTTGCCAAATTAAACGAGAATTTTCCAGTTTGGTGGAACGCCAATTCCTCTCAAGTTTCTGTGATATTTGCTTTAATTTGCGAGTTTCAGTATTATACCATGGAGCTAACCATCTTTGTTTTATTATTTTCTTTTTTAGAGGGGCTACAGAGTCGAGTGTCATTCATAGCGTTCCTGCAGCACTATCAACAAGATGATTGATTTGGGAGGGACTGAAATTAGCATAGGAGTCCTCCGTTACTTTGTGACTTGAGAATGAATTTAGCTACAGCACTATCAGACAGACATCTTGTATAGAAATCTTTGCCCAATGGCATGTAGTTCAGCAATATAAACTCAAAAGTTATCAAACAGTGGTCGGATAAAGAGGGATTCTGTGGGAACACTATTAAATGTTCAATTTCAATACCGTATACCAAAACAAGGTTGAGGGTGTGGTTAAAACAGTGAGTCAGTTCATGAACACTCTGAGAGAAGCCAATGGAATCTAACAGAGAGATAAACGCAGTACTGAAGCTGTCATTCTCAACATCCACATGAATATTAAAATCCCCTACAATAATAACTTTGTCCGTTTTATGGACTAAAGTTGACGAGAAACTGTGCAAATTCAGATAAGAATTCAGAATACGGACCAAGTGCTCGGTACACTATAACAAAAAGAATTGGTTGCAGTGATTTCCAACTTGGCTGTGAAAGACTAAGAACAAGGCTTTCAAATGAGTTATAATTTAGTTTAGGTGTAGAGCTGATTAGTAGGCTAGAGTCGAAGATAGCTGCAACTCCACCTCCTCGGCCTGTGCCTCGAGGAATGTGAGTATTAATATGACTGGGAGGGGTGGATTCATTTAGGTCCACATTTAACTCTCCTATTTGTTTGCACTATTGCTCTTGTGGTTTTAATTTTTATGCAATTTTTAGGTTTTTACGCACAGCTCCTCTTCAGTTTACCTTTGATTTAAATAATTTCAATGGTCAAGGGACAGACACCGTCATTATAGGATTTTCATTAAGTAACTCCTGAAATGGAGGAGCAGAGAAGTGTGTTAGACTGCGACTCTGCGTAGGGTTTGGGGTGGGTAACTGCTCAATTAGAAGGGCAGAGAAGTGTGCGACTCTGCCTCCTGGTCTCAACTCTGGGTTGTTGAAAACAAAGCAGAGAAAAAGAGGGGACCTTGTGGTCCGACAGAGGAGCAAGAGGCTGTGTTCGCCGAGTTGGGGCTGACTCCCCACCAGTTGGAGGCTGTCTGCAAAGCCTGTACTAACAAGGCAGTGTTGTCAGTGTGTTCTGGCAAGGGTCTGATAGAACAGAGCAGCTTGAAAGAACATCCAGTCCTCATGATGCTCATACCTGTCATGACAAAGAGAGGAGACAGTCTTGGAGCCTTGTTCGATCTCGTTTCTGACACAAATTACATTACACACCAAGCTGTGGAAAGGGTCGGGCTGACGGGGGAACCAATCTCCCTTGTCGTGTATGGTGTCGGCATGATGAGGGTGAAAGTTGATACAAAAAGGTATCTCGTGACAATAAAAGTGTGGACCTCACGAGGATCCCTGAAGATTCACGAGATGATCTGCTACGGGATGGAAGACATATCCAAAGTGGATTGAGTGGTGAGATCAGAGTGACTAGAGCAGTTCTTCCCTGAAGCTAAGCCGGGAGAACTCGCCCCCTATTGATCAGTACTCGAGATGGTCGATTAGCTCCACAAATGCTGAAAAGGGTCGGCGACCTGGTGTTGTGGGATGGTCCTCTGGGCAAGATCGTGAGTGGTGTGCATCCAGACCTCTTCGAAAAAGTGGAGGTGACCACATCGCAGTCAGAGACGCACTTCACTCACTCAATGAAGACGGTAGCCATCAAAGTTGAAGAACACTTCGTGGGAAGGCCAAGAAGCCATTTGGAGCAAGGAAGCAGTGTAGAAGTTCGAACGACAGCAGTTTGCAATAAAGAGATCCTTGGGTGGCTAGAATGGGATAGCATCGGTGCAGCATGTGACCCTTCCTGTGGAGGGTGTCACTGTGGACAGTGCCCACCGGGATGAAAGGAGATATCCCTGGCTGATGAGAAAGAGCTGGAGATAATAAAGGCAGGTCTAACCTTCAGGGAGAGAGACGCCCACAGCGACCAGCCACACTGGGATGCGAAGTACCCCTGGAAGGAAAACCCAGTCTCTCTTCCCAACAACTGAAAAGCTGTGGAAGCAACGTTCCTGAGGGCTGAGAAGCAGCTTGCAAAAGACCCCCTGTGGAATGAGGCTTACATGAGGCAAGTCCACGAGATGGTGAGGAGAAGAGCCGCTGTTAAGCTCACTAAGGACATAATGGACAGCTGGAAAGGTGCTGTGTGGTGGGTGAGCCACTTAACCGCTCCAAATCCCCACTCAGTGACTACGCCGGTGCGCCTCGTCTGGAATAGGAGCCAGGAGTTCAGAGGAGTGTGCATGAATGGCATTTTGCTCAATGGCCCAGACGTCCTACAGAGCGGTGCTTCTCAGATTCTGGGAAGGAAAACATGCAGCCATCGGAGACATCACCAAGATGTACAATTCAGTTTGGTTGGAGGAACAAGGGGTCCATGTGCATCGGTTCCTATGGAGAAACTCACCGGAGGATGAGATTGAGGATTATGCTGTCGTGAGGGTGAACATGGGGGACAAACCAGCGGTGTGCATTGCACAGGTTGCCCCAGTTCTCTGATATGAAGGAGGAAAGAAGAGTCATCGAGGAAGACTACACTGACCCACACTGTCTAGACAAGATCCAAGAGGGAGTAGAGAAAATACTGAAAGCAGGAGGCTTCTACCTCAAGCCTTGGGTCCGGTCCGGTTAAAGTGGTAGGCGGGACGGGACAGTGACTCTGACGTTGCCCAACCAGCTATGGGAGGAAGATAACAAAGCCCTGGGGGTTGGTTACTTCGTGCAAGAGGACAAACTCTTTGTGATGGTCTCCATCAACTTCTCCAGAAGGAAGAAGAAGATGAGAACCGAGATTGACCTCACTGAAGAAGAAGTGGAAGTAAAGACACCGAACCCACTGACTCGTCGTGTTAAACTGAGCCAGATCCCCGGGCTGTATGACCCGATTGGTCTAGTAACACCTGTGAAACAGAAAGGAGAGATCCTTGTGAGAAGAGCCTTCCAGGAAGCTGGCAAGCTTACTAAAGACACCTGGGATGAACCTCTGTCTGACGAGCTCAGAGGAAAGGCAATTGAAGAGTACGCTCATTTGAGTAGCATTAAGTTCCACAGAAGCCTCACGCCCTCTGACTGGAGGGGTAAACCCTGGGGAATCACGTTTCTGACGGGAGCTGTGAGTTGGAGTTCCAGACCCTCCTGTACCTTACTGCTAACCTGTCAAATAAGAAACCAATTGGTGCCAGAGCCCAGGTACAAGATGAGACCGTGGAAGTCATCACTCCCAACTCTCTTCTGGTCACGCAGGACCCAATGTGGACTCCTAAGGGTTTAAGTATCCAACTTACCCCGTCGTGCGGCTGAGAGCAATCCAGATTGTGGTTGACAAGTTCTGGAAGCGGTGGAGCAAGTTGGCAGATCCGGGCCTCTACATTAGTCAGAAGTGGCACACGCCTGCTAGAAATGTTGCAGCGGGGGACCTGGTGTGGTTAGCTGACCAGAACGCGCTGAGGGGCCAGTTGAGGCTGGGTGTGTTGTTTATGTACATTAAAACTAACTTGAAGAGATAATTATTCATGTTGTGACATAGTACGTTCATATCCAAGTATGCAATGTTATTTGCATGGTCATGGGGTGAATTTTCATATCTAGAAGTTTAACAGATTTGGTTATGGTGGCCTACTTGGATTCTAGAATCAGCAGACCGAACGTTAAGAATCGTTATCATATTCTTACATTAATAAAGTTAGGCTACCATTTCTTGAGATTCAGCAAAAACATGTGGCGTTAACCGCGTTCAAACAATGTGAACAGCAAAGTGTCCTAAAAGGACCTTAATTCGGCAAAACAGACATTGCATTAAAATTGTGAAATTTGCATCCACCTCTTTTCTCAGTATAACAGAGCGTTACCTCCCGTCAATAGACCTCGTGGGAGCAAGGCCTGATCATTGTTCTAAGCTCACACAGTCTACCGGAGGTAGATTGTGTCTGACTTGACGGTGCTGTTTTTATTCTATCAAGTCGGCGAACGTCAGCCAGTTATCTTGAACGCACCTATTTACTACCAGTTATACAGCATGCCAACTTTGTTGTTTTCCAAAGTTAACATAGATCCTTATTAGCTAGCCTCCTTACATGCTTGCTAATAACTGTTTTGAAGATGGGTCTCCGACATTGACAGCGTTGTGTTGGACAGATTTGTGCAGCGGTGTTTATGATACCAACCATTCAATTTACAGACAGGTCTGTTGTCCGTGTTTGCGAGAGAGAGAGAGAGAGAGAGAGCGACTGAGTGAGAGGATGTGCTGAGCGAATATGCACTGCGCAGTGCTGCAATCAACGATTTTAATATGGGTCGGCAAATTTACTTGGGCGGCTGTTGATCTACCTGGGTGGCCCGCCCAAATAAAGCCTATGTATGGGAAACACTGGAGGAGATGGTCTCCTTTACACATTAACAGTGTAACATTCCACTGTTAATTGATTAAGATACACACTGTCAGCTTTCTTCTATTTCAGTGGCTTCATAGAAAGTAGGCTAATACAATAACACAACACAGACTGCACAGTCAAAGCAGCATGTTAGTAACTCAGCTGCAACAGATGAACAATCACTGTAGCACGTAAAACAGAAGAAAATAGACTTACGTTTTGTTATGTAGCCTGCAAAGACAGCTGTTCTGACTGAAGGCCAACACCTGTTGCTTCACATCGGTCCTCCGCAAAGAGCTGGGCAGTGAGAGCGTCTCTCTGCCTTGGAGCCTGGACTGACCAACAGCTGGAGCGCAGACAGAGAGGGAAAGAGCTGTAGAAGTCAAATCAAGGCCCAGAAAATTGGTGCCAACGTTTTATTTTAATATGAGGCAAATTACTAATTGACTTACATTTTTTATATAACAAACAACTTCTTTAAAGTTATTGATTGTATTAACATTTTGTCACTTGATCTGTCCAGGATGTAGGCTACAGCATCTATAAAAGTTCATCCTCTGCAGAAAACACATTTGTTAAACTGCCAACAAGGAAATGTTCCTACAACATTGATCATTTGGATCCCTCACAACTGTAATTGAGCTTATTGCACCTTTATGCTCCAGTACCAGAAAATATTTAGTAGTTGTTCTGCTGCTAAACGTGATAAATGACACAAATTACTGACTTCTTGCTAGCTGGCATAATATCACTACGTAACTTCCTCACAAATCAAGTGACAATTTGCAATTCAAACAAGGAGTAAAAACAATGTCAAATAAAACAGTCTGCTGTGTTTACCTTATTTCACGATTATTCAATTCAATTCAATCTAGCTTTATTGGCATGAATGTGAACATGAATGTGAGTGAACACACGCACCGACCCTGCTACAGGTTTAATATTTGATTTGATTACATTAATGTTTAATTTGAGATTTACAAGAAATATTTTATTACTACTGTGTAAAGGGAATACTGCTGGTAAAAAGCACCTTATTTGTTTAAAGTGTTTGCAAACCACATGTTATTACACTTTTGTGTATATAGCAGTACATTTAAATAAAAACTGCACAATACACTACTTCAGTTCAATTAAATTTTAATCATTGCCCAGCACTAGTTATATTCCATCATTAGTGCTGAATAGTATGAGAAAATGCCCAGCACTTTTAGCTGCTTTTTTCAGCCTACACGTGCTGTCATCAGACCCTTACAACCACTGGTAGCTGCTTTCAATAGGTAACCTCATATAAATCCAGTGCACACTATCTGCCTGCATGAAGTGGCAAAGAGCTGATGTGAAGGATTGGTAGATTAAAAAAGGTCAAGCTTCTGGCAAAATCAGGGCTAAAAGCCCAGTGAGTGAAGACAACTCCATTTTGTGATCTTCTGTTCTTTGTCTGCTTGATGTTTAAGCAGTTGGGAGAAAACTGATAAACACTGAAAGGTAATGCACACTCCTCTTCTGATGCCTCCACGTCTGCTACACACAGCTTAAACTGTAAGTAACGTTACTAGTCTTGGCTACTGGACATTTGACAGCTGATATTAAATTGTCTGTCTTATATGGACAACATAACTTAAAGACTGTCTCCCACGTATGTGACATAATAGTGCTATCAACATTAAAACACTGAGGCATCTTTTAGAGGAGCATCTCAAAAAATTTGAATACTGTAGAAAAGTTCATTGTGAGCGAGGGAAATGCCAAGGTCGCGGCGCTTCGCATGTGTGGCTTGAAACGAACAAAGAGCTGTTGCGGCATGCCGGGTTGAACTTCTTATAGTGTTTCTGGGAGAGGGAGCACGCTAAGCGCATGCCGAAGTACAGGTGAGGAGCGAAGAGGGCCAGGGGACAAGAGGCAAGAGAGTAAGCGAGCGTGTGTCGCTGCTTTTGTTTGTCGGGGCTTGGTTCCCAGGGGGCTTGTTTCCTTTGAGAGGCAGGGCTTTGTTTCCGGTTTCCTGAGAGACTGTCTTCTTAACTTTTAATATGTCTATTCAAAAATCTATTTGCGCATATTGTAATCAAATATCTTCCCACAATCACACCTTAATTGTCAAATGGGCATACCGTTCTTAGTTTTAAGCATTTGATAAAAGGGAAAACAATTGTCAGTAGTTAAACCTTAAGGTTAGCATTTCCTAGGAATCTAGCTTCCTGGATAATATTGGTTGTTACTAGTGGTGGGCCATTATCGACGATAACGTGCTGCGTTAACGTGAGACTCTTATCGGCGATAAAAAAAAATATCGCCGTTAATCTATTTTCAAAGTTGGGTTGGGAGCTGGGTCTATAGGGGAGAGCCGGGACGATTGAAACGCGGGACGAATGAAACACAGTGATTTTCTCGGAGCCCATACAATTCTGATATGCCAAACTACCTCAGCACATACAGTCCACAGTACAGGGAAAAATCAGGTGGATACGTCACACTTTCACAGAGTTATATGAAATAAGCTGTTTTCAATCACAGAAAGTAAATTCACTCAAGCAATCTTTTGCGCCATGATCGTGATCACATAAAAGATTAGTTAGTACTTACACTTAACACATCCTGAAATTTTAAATGTCAAAGTTTTACAGTTTAGAAGCTAGTGAAGTTTAAACGTCAAGAGTCACTGTCGGGACGATTGAAACAGGTGTTTCATTTGTCCCGAAACGCAGCCATTCTACCTTATTTAGATATGGCGGGAGGGGGGCAGAGTCACGAATACACGAATGGCATCAGATTATGAACAGGTAAATACAGAGTGACATTTATACATTAAATGGCGTTTCAGAACGATGGCATGCAAAACTTATTTTGTCCACTTGGGGGAGCTATGGTTACATGAGGAGTAGATATTCAACTTTGAGCTTCACCACTTGACCTAGGAACTGGGAAGTTTAGTTATTTAACATTAAATTTGAGCTGGAAAATTAATCGAGTAGTATAGGATGACATTTCTTTATCATATCATTTCTAAAGGAAGTGTCAGAAAGTGTTGGGAACAAAGCATTGATTACAACATAAAATTAAAAAAATGTCAGGGATCCTTGCTGAAAATTTAAACACTGCAAAATTAACTTATTTAGATTCTTTTCAACAGCAATATCAACAACAACATGGTAACATGGTAATAACTACTTAAATGGAGTGGAGAGACCTGTTAAGTAACTTAAAGATTATTTAATTAAACAAGGTATTGCTTTGAGTTTTGAGGAGACAGTACTACTTGTTTACACAAAAGGGAGGAGAGAGGAATATCTTTTGATGTGAGATAATTAAACAAAGAGGGAGGTCAGTTGCCATGTTTACGTGTGTGGGGGCAGTTTAGGGTTTCCTGCCCTCTCTTAAAAAGAGTTCTGATAGGCTGTTCAGGAGAAAGCTAATTTCTGGTTAGTGTTTCGGGACAGTTGGCAACCCTAGCCCCATATAACCTTAGGGGAGGCTGGGGAGACCCAGGAAGGGATCGGCTGCGTAGTTAGTGGGATTTGAACATGTTTTCTATTATCTTTTAGGCCTACATGTGTACATAAGAAGATGAAGAAGAAGAATGCAACAACTGTATAGAGTTGTGTTTTGTTTAATTTGTGTTGCAGGTAGTAAGTCACTGTCTTGGTGGTTTTCTTTTCCTTGTTTTGTTCTGTTCCGTTCTGGTGGTCTGGCTTAGTGCTCAGTCTGCATGTGTAACTTGCCCCTAATACATTGATTGTGAGATCCCCTTGTGTTGCGTTAACCTGTCTGCTGGTCACTATAGTTACTGCATGTCAGCAAGTATGTATTTTATGGGCTGGATGATATCTCAGCCAACCTGTTTCTTTGTGCTTCACATTGTTTTAATACCAATTTTTTTTTATATAAATAAAGGTTTCCAGACATACTTGCCTTCAGGGTGCTAGGGACCTGTTTTTTGTGACTCCAAGGGGGGTGATTTTTTTAAATTAGGGTAGTTAGTTCTTAGGGTTTTCTGTATGTAGTTTAGAAATTATGCTGTAGATTGCATGTGCTTCATTTAGTATTTATTTAGACAATGTGCTAGTACTAGTACTAGTAGGCCCCTGCGTGCAAGCTTCAGATAACTTGAAAAAAGGTACCCCTGTTCACAAATCTGCATTATTTCTAATGATAGAACTTACATTTTAATGTTTTTTGAAAAGATTAAACTAGACTGAACTAAACTGAACTGAGCTTGGCATCATTCAGCGACAAAGACTAAAACTAACACTGGACATAATAAAAACTCAACTAAAACTAAACATTTTCATTAAAAATTAAACTACATTTATCTGACGCTTTAATCCAAAGCAACTAACAATTGCTATATATATCAGAGTTCACACACCTCTGGAGTAACTAGTGGTTAAGTGTCTTGCTCAGGGACACATTGGTGGATGTGTCACAGTAGGGAACTGAACCCGGGTCTCTCACACAAAAGTCATGTGTCTTATCCACTGAACCATCACCACGCCAAACTAAACTATCAAACCCACGTTAAAAACTAATTAAAACTAAACTGAAATTGAAAACAAAAAGTCAAAACGAAAAACAAATAAAAACTAATGAAAAATCCTAAACTATAATTGATTTTGTCCCAGGGTCTCAAATCTGAGAGGACTATGTTTTATTACAGAAAGTGTATGCAACCCATGACCAAAACAGTCATCCATTTTTTCATTGTTACTTATGGATGGAATGTTTAGGCAAAATAAATGATTCCCCTTTTTGCTGGGGACCCCCTGGAGCCCTCTCCAGGACCCCTTGGGGTCCCTGGATCCCACTTTGAGAACCACTGTCTTAGACTGTGACAATAATGGCGATACTTACAGCTGTGGAAAGAGCACCTCTGTCCCTCGTGCTCCATTCTTCCTTTAGCTTCTTGGCTAACAGCTAACTTGAACAACATAAGATCTGGTGTCGCTGACCTGCAGCGCCCTCGCGCATTCATGTCAAGGATGGTGCATTCACTAACTCAGTAACGCAGCGTTACTTGGATTAGTAACTGTAATAATATTACTGTTTTGGAAAAGTAATATCTTACACTCCTAGTTACTGCAAAAAGTAATATTATTACTGCCCAACACTGGTCAGTGTTGGTGACCATTTGTCATCGATCACCTAATTCATGCCTGTTAACTTGTTTAGGTATTTTTACCAGGGAAGAATTTAAAAAATAAACTTACAAATACATGAACAAGTTCAAGTTTCCTGATATTTAGGTGGCCAAATATCTGAAATCTCATTTAGGCTAACTATTCATCTGTCGCTCTGATGGATAGTTCCACCACCACGAATGCATTTGTTTTGCACTGTAACTTACATTGTGTTTCTCTCTGTTGTGTCTTCAGGTTGTTTGTCCATGTCTTCCTGTTGGGCAGCTGGACAGTGTTGCTGTGGTGAAAGCAGTGCTGACTGGTGCCATCTCTCTGTAATCACTGTTTCTCTTTGTCACGCTTGTCCACAGCAACTAAGTAAAACTCAGCATCCTGGGAGTCAGCAGCAGTCTGTCTGGTCAAGATTCTGAATGAATGTCATGAAAGCCATGAATGATCAGATGTCACAAATAAATCGTTAAATCGTAGAGGCTCAACCAGAGACAGATCATAAAGGTAATTATTTTGTGGTCATAAGAAACCATTCAGTGTGTTTGGTAATGAGCAACCTCTCAGATTTTTAACCTTCTGTGCACAAAGTCATGCAATTGGTATCTCTATAACATCCACAAAAATGTCCAAAAATTGTGGCTCACTGCAGCAGCTGTATTTATTTCTGCCATTTACAGATGAATGACAAAATGTTCTCACTCTGTTCCCACACATCTACTATTACACTTGACAGAGGGACACTTAAGTCTTGAGCAGACAAACTGGTAGAGGGAGTGAACAACCTGAATACATCTGAATGGACTAGTCTCTTGAGGGAGGGAGGCAGGGAGGAATGAGGAAAGGGAGACAAAGAGATGAATTGACATGAGAGAATTTGGTTTTGAAATAAAACTTAATTTCTAACAAAAGGGACAATCCAATGAAAAGTGTGTGTGTGTGTGTGTGTGGGGGGGGGGGGGGGGGGGTAAGATAAAATACAAGGTGAACAGAGTAAAAAGTGTATCTGAATCTGGCCAAAACTAATTTCCTTTGTTTGCAGTGATGAAGAGAAATAAATATTTGTTGTTTGTTGTTGCGCATCACACTAAATGCCTATAAGAAAGACTTGTTACAATGATCAGAATAAGAGAAATGAAATTCTCAACAGAGGGATAGTAAAAAACATGTTATTTCTGAAAGTAACTAATTTCAATCATGTGTAGTGACTCTAAGATCAGGGTGCTACCAATATGCCACTCATTGAGGGTAATACACACTTTACATGATTAATTATGGGCTTGCTAGATATTAGGACCACAAAAATATCCAGTCAAGGAATGCAACATGGGATCACTTCAACTTTTTTGTGTCAAGATAGAGATATGGATAAGATTCTTAGCACCTCGTCAATCACATTCTGGATACCCAGAGTCACACAATGGGGAGTTTCGAGGGTGCATTTCCCAAAGAATGTCCTAATTGGAGAGAAGGTCAAGAGCATTAGTGTGGAAAGAACCTAATCCCTTTGATTGAGTAAACACTAGCCTTGATGGTTCACCCATATGAACCAATCCTGCCAAATAGAGCCAGGTACACACCTACTGTCTGCAGCATTGCAATAACCTGTCTTCTAACAAACGAGTTTTGTTCTAAGGGCCCAACGCAGTCCTTTTCTTAACAAAGAATAGTAGCTCTGAATCAGCAAGAGTGGATTTGTGCAAACCAACACTTTAATCCGAGTCTTGAGGTCCTCCGAAGGTTCCAACCACTTAAATAGAAAACAGCTGCTGATTTGCAGCACAGAGGTATCATTCAGAAAAAATGTCCAACGAGGTGGTTCGGTCCTGCTGTCAAATACAGAGTAAAGGGGCTGTAGTCAACAGGAGAAACTCTCTGCCTATCCCAGAGAACGAGAGAGAGAGAGGAAGGAGCAACGTGTAGGTTACAGGCTGCGTGCAGAGTTAAACTCCTGAGCAGACCTCAATCATCATGTCCTCCCACGACTACATTAAGTACCACGGCCTTCTCCTGCCGCTTATGGCACACAGCACGGAGAGCTTGGAGTTTGCCCAAAATTTCTCTGTGGAAGACACTGACGTGTTTGCTGTGACTTACCCCAAGTCAGGTACAGTGTTTTCATACTCATATCTGTTAATTGTCTCTTTTCAGCTGTCGTAATCCCCAGGGGATAGCACTTTTTTATCTACTTTTGTGGGTACACGGTATTTTTTCACCTTATTACACTGAAGATTTCCTACATTTACTTTTTGAAAGCAAATAGCTTCCATTTGTCTGTTCCACTACTGCATTTTATATGGATTAACTTCAGCATGTGGACAGACAAAAATTAGGCAATGGGGATCCACACAGTTTTCTTTTTTTCCCCTTGTTAAATAATAAGAGACAGTCTTTCAGCAGAATGTGCTAATTTAAGAGCTTTTATCTGGCTTCTCCATGCAAAATTCTCACTGTGTAAAGATTAACACACTAAATAAATAAACAGATACTAGATGGAGAGGTTGCATCACAAGGTACAAGGAAGTTTATTTGTCATACAGTCTATGGTCATTATACAGCACAAGGCTGCACACAACTGCTACTGTTTTTCTGCACATGCATTTATGAGAACAGTAGCCTATTTAGTGCTTTTATAAAACGTAAATGTTTGCTTAAAGCCACTCTCTCCCAAGTGCATGCATCACTGTCAGTAGAGTAGTGAGTTACTTTAACATTGCTTACTGCTTCAGCAGGTGATTCAATAGGCTACATTCGCAGTTCGTACAAAGTTTACAACGGTCAACAATGTTCTTTGCATCTTAGACTGACACAATAATGCCAGTACTTACAGCTGTAGAAAGAGCACTTCTCTCCCTCGTTCCCCATTCTTCCTTTAACTTCTTGGCTAACAGCTGACTTGAACAATGTAAGGTGTTGTGCCGAGTTTTGCATCCCTCCCGAGAATTGCATGCACCTCCAAATACTGCTTTTAAACGCTATAATATCCTTCGTGGGGTTCATCAATGGTGATAAATGATTCTAAGTATATTTTTTTTGCTTCTAATATTTGATTTCACTAAGTAGAAATAGGCTAGCATTCATTAAGATTCAGCTAAAAGATGTGGCGAATTCCGCGTTTGATCAATGAGCACAACAAAGTGTCTGAAAAGGACCTTAGGTGGATGCATAATTCGGCAGAACAAGCGTTGAAGGATAACGTTACCTGCCGAGATTTGCATCCACCTCTTTCCTCAGCATAAATGAGAGATGCATGCGATTCTCGGCCGGCAGGCAGGCAACACCGGTTGCCATAGTAACTAGTCTAGTCTCCTGTCATAAACTAGCATAAACCATAGATATCCATAATAAAGGCCTTTATTATGGATATCTACCTTTATTATGGATATCTATGGCATAAACTACCTGCTCTGAGACAGTTAACCTGAAACACCAAGATGCTGTTGAAGATGGCCAGAAAAGGAAAGACAATAAGGGATACAACAGGTAGCCCATGGGTTTTATGCTTGTATTTCTCTGGAGAAAAAAAATAGGCAGTGTGTGTTTTCAATGCGATTCAGTTGAAGTTTAAAAGATCTAGCACAAGTTATAACAGCCTACATATATATACTGTAGTTTCCACCCCGTCGGCTCTGAACAGGAAGTAGTATTGTGCTACCTTCAGGTAACTGTCGAAAAGTTAGTTTTATATAGACCCATTCGTCTTGTTTGTGCGTTGATTTTGTTGCGAATATAATAATAACGAAACGGACGCTGTAGCCTACTTCTATTTACCTTTTTATACAGTCTATGCTATTCACTGAATAGACGCGGCAAAGTTTCAGTAGCAAATTACATGAAGTAATTGTGTTAGCCCCCGCGACCATGTATGCAGGATAAGCGGTTGACAATGGATGGATGAATGAATGAATTGTTAGCATGTAAAAGCAAATCGTTGGAAACCTCGCGAGAATTACGCAAATCAATAATACAAATCAATAATACGTGAGATGATTAAGGAAGCATAAGATTTGGGCTCATAAAGTTTCTGTATCTTGTTTGGTCTTGTTTTAGTCTTTCACGCCTCGGTTTCTGTTTGTCCTACATGTTTCCTACATGTTTTAATGCAGCACCAGTACTGCCACCTTTATCAGTGATTTACAAACACTTTGCTTTAACCATCGCAACATAATGTCTTCTAAAGAGATGTATCTGCTGCATCATGGACTAAAGCTACCCAAAGAGACTCACGACTTAGAGAGCTTGAAGTTTGCGCAGGAATTCACGTTTAAAGACGAGGACGTCGTGGCTGTAACTTACCCGAAGTCAGGTCAGTGTTTTTCTGTGAAAGACGCGTTGTTTTTGGTTTACCAAAAAAAGTCACAAAAAGTGATGTGATCTGACAACGTTTTTTTTTTCATTTTGGGTCCTGCTTATCTGTCCTGGTGTCCAGTCTGCCCTTGTTATGCCACTTTGCTCTAGCACAGTTGATGAAATGTTGTGTTCCTCTTTCCTGAAAAGTTTCACTTCCCAGGCATGTGTGTTTGTTTTGCCTTAGGCCTATAGTTAGTCTGGGCACAAGGAGAGTATCACAGGCAACAACATCCAAGATAACGTTAGTTATTTTTAGTAGAGAAAGAGAGATATGGGTCAAAAAAGAAATTTGGTGTCCAAAGGCCATTAATTTAACATAATAACAGATTAATATCAACTCTTACCCTTCCTTTAACCTAGAAATATTTCAAACTATTAAATTAAAGGAAAGGTAGTTCATCCTAAAAAGATAAATGAACACCCATTGCATAATAGGAAACATAAGAGTTGCTAAAAATATTTTAAAAAATGATTAATATAATAATTTCAGTATAACAAAAATGAAGCCATTTTAAAGCAAATCACATGCTGGTAATAATGTGACATCAAAGTGTGTGACATCAAAAAGAAGACCCATTTAAGACCCTCTATCTCCAGGCAGAAGTCAGTAAATCTATGATGATTTCACTATTTGACCCTCTACTAATGTTTGTAACAAAAATGCATGTCCTTCAGTACAGCACAGATTATTATTATTACTTTATATAGGTGGCCAAGGAACTGCCTGTTAAGTATGTGCATGAAATCTGTCAGGGTAACAAAATATTAATATACACAGTATAACACTAGTATATTTATTAAATACAATAACTTTGTTTTTTTGACTCAGAGAGATGATAATAAATCTCAAAGGATGACGTGAAATATACTATTAAATTTTTTTAGGTTCAAGATATTTGTAAAAAACCTACAGAATTTGAGTTGTACCCATGATGCATTAAATATGTGGCTTTTTTTTGGGTAGCAATATTTCTGCCATTCTAAGTATTGACATATAACCTTGTGATTATGAAAAATGGACATAAAAGTTTTTTTTTAAATGCACTTAGTGTTGTATTCTACTGAATGACATTTTACCAAGTTACATTCATATCAATCACAATAAAAATGAATTATTAGCTTTATTCTCGAATTTAACTAATTTAAGGGCATGAGTGAAACTACAATGAACATATTAAAGACTGTTCTGGGAAATGTTATTGCTGTTTTATTTTTTGCTACTTTGAAAACCTTTTACATCTTTGACTCATATCAACTATAGCCTACTGTACGTGTATAGTACACTGATCAGCCATAACATTATCACCACTGTCAGTGGGTAGTATACAGTATATTAGGCAGTAACTTTGACAAGGGCCAAATCATGATGGCAAATGACTGAGTCAGAGTGTCTCCATAACTGCAGCTCTCGTGGGGTGTTGCCGGTCTGCAGTGGTTAGGGCTACCTATCAAAAGTGGTCCGAGGAAGGAAAACGGTGAACCATTTTACCCATTGAAATCTATGGGGCTCTACAGTTTAGATATCATCTATTCATTAGTTAGGCTACTAGTAACTATTCCAAAAGATATAAGAAACTATTTAAATTTTACTAGTATCTGTTATTTAGATACTATATTCATTAGTCACTAGTAACTATTCCAGAAGATACTCGTAACATTTTCATTCTTGATGACTAGTAAAATGGCTTTTTGATTGTACAATTTTAATTCTTACTAGTAACTAATGGAATAGTTACTACTAGTAAGCACTAGTAGCTAAATAATATTGACTAGCAAAATGGAAATGGTTACTAGTTACTATTCAATTAGTTACTAGCAACTAATTAAAAGATGATATCTGAACTGCAGAGCCCCATAGATATCATTGGCAATGTGCAATTACTAGTAACAATTGATTACTTAATTTTTAGTTACTAGTAACTATTCCATTTGTCACTAGCAACTATGTTTTAGTTACCAGTGCTAGTAACTAAAAATAGTTACTTGTGACTAATAAATAAGTACTAGTAGCTTTTGAATAGCAGCTAGTAAGTTTTAAGGAATAAATCAAACGGCTTGTCATACTTTAACATCACGTGGATGGCTGGGTGCTTGTGCGTTGCTTATCTGGGGAACACATGGCACCAGGATGAACTATGGGAAGAAGGCAAGCCGGCGGTGGCAGTGTGATGCTTTGGGCAATGTTCTGCTGGCAAACCTTGGGTCCTGCCATTCATGTGGATGTTACTTTGACATGTACCACCTACCCATGGCCGTAACCAACTATGAGGTCACCGAGGTCTGGACCTCCGTAATTATATGTAGGCTATAGCCTATCAATAAAAAAGTATAAAAAGCATTGATAACACGATCAACTTAGATGAAGGCTTTAGGACAATGTGGTCGCAGCCGATTACACTCTCGCAACCCTCATTTCAACTTTCCCCAAACTGTTCCCTGATCAGTGTCCAGACTTGGAGAAACACATTAGAATGCAGTGCGCGCAGTAACTGAGAGCACAGCTGTTTGCGGGCAGACTTTTAGGTGGTATCATTTACCATGGAAAAAGGGTATGAGATAAATAGCTTAACGGCAGCTTAACTTCAGATTTAGGATAGGATCAGTCAGCATCTAATGTTAATTAATGTTCTAAACATCCAAAAGGTCCCACCTCGCAACTTACAGGATGTTTTGGTGCCAGATACAGTCCCCTCCAAAAGTATTTTTACTCATTTTACTCATTACTCATATGGAACAGTAAGGCAAATTCCTATATTTTTGTTGTTCACTGAAGACATGAGTATGAAACAAGAGTTCAGAATTTCAGCCCTCGTTTCCTGGTATTCACATCTAGATGTGTTAAACAACTCATGCCCAAAGCACACTGCCAACAAAAGAAAGGACTTCATCAGGGGAAAAAAATGTTTAGGTTTTAGACTGGCCAAGTCAATCACCTGACCTTAACCCAATAGAGCATGCATTCCACCTCCTTAAGAGGAGACTGAAGGGAGAAACACCCCGAAACAAACAAGTACTGAAAGAAGCTACGGTAAAAGCCTGGAATAGCATGACAAATGAAGAATGCAACAGTTTGGTGATGTCGATGGCTTGAGGCAGTTATTGCAAGCAAGGGTTATGCCACCAAATATTAAATGTTATTTACTTAAGGATTATTTGTTCCATTACTTTTGCTCACCTAAGACTGCTGTGGTCTAATACAAACGGTGATATGTCCTAAGTTGTCACATCCACACACATCTTTTATTTCACATCTAGATGTTAATACCAGGAAATAAAAGCTGAAATTCTGAACTCTTGTCTCATACTCATCTTTTGATCTTAAACCCAAATGTCTTCAGTGAACAACAAAAACAAAGGAATTTGCCTTCCCGTTCCAATACTTTTGGAGGAGACTGTACCACAGCACACCTTCAGAGCTCTAGTGGAGTCCATGCCTCAACGGATCAGGGCTGTTTTGGCAGCAAAATGGGGACCTGCAAATTATGGCAGATGGTAATATGTTATGGCTGATCGGGCTGTGTGTGTGTGTGTGTGTGTGTGTGTGTATACAGCCTATAACTTATTACCAAATTGACGTCTGCATTGCCATGAAAACTGCAGACATGCAAATCCCTCGAAATATGACAGCTGTAGGTTAGCCTGCAAAATACCTTTCCTAGAGATAGTCATTTGTTCCTATGTAAGGAACAAGATGGGTACATAGTTCATGTGAATAGTTTAAAACTCCCAGCCAGTCTGACCAGATTTGTTTTCCTGAGGGTGCTACAACCAAACTGAAAGGAACCAGGCTTGCGTGAACACAAAAGCATTTTAATTACATGTGAACAACTGTGCTTTTTTCACTATGACAAAATATCTGTTGTGAAAAAGGCAGATCAAACTTTTTAAATAAAATCTAAGCACACTGAAACTACACCTTAACTCAGGATATGTCACACTTCAGACCAGTACCCAAAAGCAGACCGGAGACAGAAATAAAGAATAAGGATTATTTATTGGTAAACAAATACTGTGAGTCAGGGCAGGTGAGTGAAGCCAGATCCCAGGTGGGTGCTAGCAGAGTGCGAATGCTGTTTTTTGGAGCTGATCCAGTGAATCCTGTGGCAGGAGGAAAGAACTGGGAGATCTTTGGTTCAGGGTGTGTGGTCTGGTAGTGAGTTCCTGGAGACAGGAAAATCCAGTTAGCAGTGGGAAACAAGCCAACTTCAGGAGTAACTTTGTGACTTCGGGTGTAACATAGTAAGCTGAATAGGTTTTACTCGATGTATACTGTCACGGCAATTTATGATGCATCTCCGTAGTGCTCCGAGCAGGTTATCTTCGTGGTTAACTGAATGTTACCCTATTTAAATAAATACTAAGACTATTAAAAGTGTGGGCTACACAACACATCTGTACTTAGTGTTATCGATCAAACTATTAATACACACACTTTTGTTAGAATATTTTTAGATTTGCTGACTTGCTGCCACGTGTATTTTCCAGTGGGTTACAGCTGAAATGTTTGATGTAGCATTACATTCATGCAGGTAGCCCTGCAGCCTCTGTGATTTAGGGAGTCGATCTTCATTCATTACAGGTCAATTGAATTATCTTAAATCTTTACACCTATTTAAATTTACTATTTTTAGTGTCCAAAAATTATGAAGCCAGGGGAGAAGTGATAACGCTGAACATGCACAAACTCCAGTTCCACACTGAACTAACCAAACATATTCACTGTTGTAGTACCCTTTAAGACCAATCTAGGGAGTCAGAGTTTGTCAAGCCTGACTTTCCTTGATAACCCTGAGTTGTACCTGAATAGGTTAAACTCCCTTGTTAGTACAGGCCTCTGACGTCACAATAGCAGGTGTCATGGTAGGGAGGCTGTGACAGAGTACACGATTTAATAATAGTTGCTGTTTTTCACAAAAATATTATTCGGTGTGCTTCACTACATAGAAGTCTTAAAAAGAGCTCCTTCTTTCCTGCCTTTGTGATTCTTAATATTTTATAAAATACACAAAATACACAACCACCCAGACCCTCCACTGTCCAGATACTGACACACACACACGTACGCGTATGCACACACACACACACACACACACACACACACACACACACACACACCACTAACAACAATTTTAAGACACACTTCCACAATCTTTCACAAACACACACACACAGAGCAAGAGTTAATTGTTTTCTGCTATTTACTTGATTTTATGAATATTAACGTTTTCTTTTTAATCAAACTATTACTTTTGGTAACATCATCTTTGTTACACTCATGCCAATAAAGCATATTGAATTGAATTGAAAATTGACGAAGGACTGTTACGTGTCCACAGCATCTCAGCTGCCTCAGCACAAGAGACAATGCATCAACTAATTCAGTCCTGTCCAACATGTGTGAACATTAGGGAGAGTGAATGAGTCATTACACTACTAAATTAAATTAAGCTCTGCCATGTGATTTACAAGAAGTCTTGCTTTCACACAAAAGTCACTGGTGAACTGTGGTTTTTGGTGGAAACATCCACATATAATAATCATTTCAGAAAAACTGAACAAGTTGCACGCTGAGAATTTTTTCCAGGGGGAGTAACCTAATTAGGGTGACACTAGGACACAGTGTGTGTCACTCATGAGCATGATGTCTGGTTGAAATGTAATGAGCTCTTTTGTTCATTCATTGATTTACTATCCATACCTCATTATTCCTATTCAGGACCATGTAGCAAATAGCAGGTTGAAAACTATGTTGCCTCAGAGTTAAACTTTTCCTTTAATCTTCTTGTTCTCCCTCTTGTTAGTTATCTGCTGTTCTATTCTTTTTTTAAGGTACAATCTGGATGCAGGAGATTCTCCCACTGGTGCTGAATGGGGGGGATCTGACTCTGATCCATACCGTTCCCAACTGGGACAGGGCCCCCTGGCTGGAGGAGAAAAGATTAGCAGAGGTTGTTGATCAGTTGAAATCTCCACGGGCACTGGTCTCACATTTTCCTTACCACCTCATGCCACCCTCCTTCCACACATCCAAAGCCAAGGTAAACGGGTGGAGGCTCTGTGTAATACTCCCATGTGAACCTCTCTTCTGTGTGTCATCAGCAGCCTTGAGATACTGAATTATTTTACATGAGAAAACACAGGCAGATTCACCTTTAACGTCTTGGTCCATATGTCCTGGATTATCATCCAGGAGTTTATTGATTATTTTATTTTTATGTCATTGAATTTGTCTCTCATGTCTCTGCCATAGGTGATCTATGTTATGAGGAACCCTAAGGACATCATAGTGTCTTCATACTACTTCCACCAGATGGCCGGATTCCTCGAGGATCCAGGAACCTTTGATGAGTTCATGGACAAATTCCTGGAGGGCAGAGGTCAGAGGTCTCATCCCACATAAAGACTTTGCTCTGAGAAATGTATAAGTTTCAACAGTAGAATGGTTCAGTATTTTGGTGTATTAGCACGTGAGCAGATTTTGGATGTTGCTAAAGTCATCTTTGTTTCTCATTTTTGCTATAGTAGTAGAGCAGTGGCTGATTGCATTTATACTGTGGTCCCATGTCTGTGTGCAGTGCTGTTTGGAAAATGGACCGACCATGTGAAGAGCTGGAGACACACAGAGCTGGGAGACAGAATAATGTACATCACATATGAAGAAATGTGTCAGGTAACTCTCACAGTTGAGCTGTTGTGTGACTCAAACATTAATGCGGCAGGGCTGAACGCTTACCTGCTCACCTGTTTCCACCCTCCCTTGTCAGCCCTGCAGTACTTCAATATTGCTTTATCTGTTTAACAGTTACAAGCTAATATCATATTACAAATTACATGTGAGCAAAAATTGATAGGCACTGACTAAAAGCACTCGCACTCCATATTTGTGCATCAAATGACAACTCAATTTCACAAGTTGTGTACAATAAGGTTCCCTGCTCAATTCATGGAACGCCCGAGGCTGAGAGAGTGCAAAGATGTGGAGTCTTCCTTACTTATTAACTCAACACTGTTCCACTGCAGATAAAGACACACAATGCATCGTTTCACTGAGTCCGTAGAAAGTAGTCGAATACAATAACACGACACAGACTGCACAGTGAAAGCAGCATGTCAGTAATGCAGCTGCAGCAACTTCATTCTTCTGCATTAATCTATATAAGTTGCTTTCAGGTACAGTTTTTGAGTGTAGGTCGCCCGGCAGAGGATTTCACTTATGGGTGTACTCACTTTTGTTGCCAGCGGTTTAGACATTAAAGGCTGTGTGATGTGTTATTTTGGAGGGACAGCAAATTTACACTGTTACACAAGTTTTACACTCATTACTTTACATTGTAGCAAAGTGTCATTTCTTCAGTGTTGTCACATGAAAAGATGTAATCAAATATTTACAATAATGTGAGGGGTGTACTCACTTTTGTGAGATACTGTAAATATGACCAATCAAATGGAAGCTCATTATCAAGGTCTTCATAATGGGCCCTTGTCATAGTGTTGGTGTTCAACATAGTGGTAGGTTTAAGTAGGTTAGTAATTTTTAAAGAGGTGGTTGGATGCTGAGGCAGTAGGGACACTGTTATTTATACGTCACACACGTAACGGTAGCGCCGTCCTACTTGTTGGCTACCTGCACAATAAAAATTTCAGTGGGCAAGTGCGTGTGTGTGATTGGAGGAGGTAGTACCCATAGAGTCCAGTAGAGAGCTCCGCCTGTGCTTATAGAACTAGGGTTACCATATCGTAACATTCGTTACACTTACGGGACTGCCCCATAGACCAAGGTGCAGCCAATAATAATAATAATAATAATCTTTATTTGTAGAGCACTTTTCAAAAACAAGTTCCAAATTGCTTTAACAAGTGTAAAGACAATAATACCCAAAAGACAATAATAAAAGGGATAAAATAAAGTCAATAAGATCGGGAAAGGCTCTCCTATAAAAGTATGTTTTAAGAAGGGACTTAAAAGAGTTCACTGACTCAGCTGACCTGATTTCCTCGGGCAGACTGTTCCAGAGCCTCGGGGCCCTGACAGCAAACGCTCCCCTTTAGTTTTCAGTCGAGACTCTGGAACAGACAACAGACCTCTGCCCGAGGATCTCAAGGTACGTGCTGGTGTGTATGGGACTAAAAGTTCAGAAATAAAACACAGCGAGAGGCCATGAAGAGATTTAAAAGTGATCAATAGAATTTTAAAGTCAATTCAAAACATACTGGGAGCCAGTGTAATGAAGCTAAAATAGGAGTAATGTGGTCATATTTCTTTGTTCTGGTTAAAAGCCTGGCAGCTGAGTTCTGGACAGTCTGGAGTCGATCAACAGATTTTTGGGTTAAACAAGTGAAAAGGCTGTTGCAATAATCCAGGCGTGATGAGATGAAGGCGTGTAAAATGGTCTCAGTGTCCTTAAAAGTAAACATAGATCGAATTTTTGCTATATTTCTAAGTTGATAGAAACATGATTGAACAAGCTTTGTGGTGTGCTGCTCGAAATTTAAATTACTATCAAACCAAACACCAAGGTTCTTTGCCACAGGCTTAATGTGATTTACTAAGTAACCAGCAGATGGTAGTATTTGATTTGCCATCTGCTGGGACCCGATGACCAGGATTTCTGTTTTGTCTGAGTTCAGCTGGAGGAAATTATTTGACATCCATTTTTTAACTTCACAAAGGCAGTTGTTAACTCCAGGGTCTGTGGATCTGATGGGCAAGTACATTTGTGTGTCATCAGTATAAATATGAAAAGAAATGCCATGTTTATGGATAATATGTCCAAGGGGAAGCAGACAAGGAAAACAAAATGGGTCCTAAGACCGACCCCTGAGGCACACCATATTTAACTGGACAGAATGAGGAGACATAGTTGTTTACAGACACACGCAAGCCGTTTTAAAATAATCAGGGACACAACCAGTAGATAGGGAGCTGTTGAAAAAAGAGATCAAATGGGGCCAACAGAATCTATTACTTTCAATAAAAACTTTGTAGGTATTACATCAAGTGGGCTGGAGGACACTCTCATTTGTGATACTGTTTGATTACTGATTGGGATAAAATTGGTTAAAACTCTCTTGTTGCTGGTGAGGAACCTCTGAGTAAGAGGCAGTGGGGGTAATAGAGGCTCTGATTGACACCACCTTATTGGTAAAATAAGATAAAAACAATTCACAGTCATCATTACTTCCAGCTGAGGCACAAGGAGGGGTTGGGTTTACCAGCTGATCCACAGTCTTAAACAGAAAGCTGGGATTGTGTTTATGTGTAGTAATGAGTTCAGAAAAATAGTGTGTTCTCGCATCCTTAACCATGTTATTGTAGTTAATTAATAAATCCTTCAGACTGAGGTAATGGACTTGGAGACTGGATTTTTTCCATCTGCGCTCTGCTTTCCTGCATTCCCTTTTTAGGCTGCGAATGCTGTCATTTATCCAGGGTTGCTTACTGGCTTTAGACGTAGGCCTAACCTTTAGAGGAGCAGTAATATTTAGTGACGACAAGCAGATATGATTGAAGTGATCGACCAGATTATTGGTGTTGGAAACATACAGGTGTTGGCTTTGGCTCTGAAAGAATGTGCAAAACTGAAACACTTTGTTCACTAAAGATGCGAGAACACACAGAGCTTGGTGAGGCGGCATGAGTAACAGGCAAATCGCAGCTAAAAACAATACTACGTAAAACTTAAGTTAAAAACTTAAGTTAAAAACTTAAGTTAAATAAAAAGGATATAAAAAATGTAATGAAAAAGTGTGGATTAAAACTGGATAAGAGTCCGGTTTAAGACGGAGCTTCCGACAGGTAGCAACAGACGCCAACGCATGCGCAGAGTACAGATTACGTCAGCAATTACGTCAGCGATCTTGTGACCATAAGCACTAGTCACACAATGGCAACTCCTGTTTTGGTTCGACTGGAAAAGTCGCACTTAACAGAATTCACAGGTTTAAGTTGCATTCCCGTTGTTCTCAACCTGTCCTTGTCCGAACAATAGAAATCATATAGAAAGTTCTTCATTTGAGAATGTCCCTCATAAGATAAAGGCCAACACCTGTTGCTGTGAAAGAAAATGTCTCCATGCCCCTCCTGTAGGACCTTCCAGCAGCTCTCAGGCGTATTTCAGAGTTCCTTGGCCGTCATCTGAGTGAAGAATCCATTCAGAAGATAGCAGAGCATTGCTCCTTCAAGAACATGAAAGCCAACAACATGTCCAACTTCAGCCTGGTCCCTAAGAAATACATGGACCCTGACAAATCTCCATTCTTCAGGAAAGGTGAGGCTCTATGTGTCCATCATCACTTCCTCTGCTTTGATTTGCATTTAACCGCTGAAATGTCAGCGTGGTTAAAGCAGATTAACTCAGTTTAGTACCTAGTGATCAAATTGGGGTATTGGGCATGAGATTTATTCAGATATGTTATTGGATGTTCATTCTCCATTAGTGTCTAACTGTATTTTTAGATTTAGAGCAGTTGATTTTCTTTTGCATCAGAGATTCGTTCGTTCATTTGACTGTCTTGGTGTGTTTGTGTTTTTATGTTAGGTGTTGTGGGAGACTGGAAAAACCATTTCAGCTCAGAGAGTCTGGCTAAATTTACATCGGTCCTTCGCAAAGAGCTGGGCAGTGAGAGCGTTTCTCTGCCTTGGAGCCTAGACTGACCAACACCGGAACAAAGACAGAGAGGGAAAGAGCTGTAGAAGTCAAATCAAGGCCCAGACATATCAAGCATTTCAAAAATTGGTGCTAATGTTTTGGTTTAATATTAGGCAAATGACTAATTGACTTACATTTTTTATATAACAAACAACTTTTTTAAAGTTATTGATTGTATTAATATTTTGTCACTTGATCTGTCCAGGAGGTAGACAGCATCTATAAAAGTTCATCCTCTGCAGAAAACACATTCTGTTAAACTGCCAACAAGGAAATGTTGCTACAACACCGATCATTTGGATCCTTCACAACTGTAATTGAGCTTATTGCAGCTTTATACTCCAGTACCAGAAAACATTTTGTAGTTGTTCTGCTACTAAACGTGATAAATGTCTGTTAAGGCATAAAAGCAGTGCAGTCCATTTACAATATAAGTGTATGGGAGGGACCAAACTACTTCCTCACAAATCAAGTGACAATTCGCAATACAAACATGGAGGAAAAACAACCCCTGATGTCATATAAAACAGTGTGATTACCTAATTTCACAATTATTTTGACAGTTTCAATCTACCTTTATTACGGAGTGTAAATTACCTTTATTATGGCCCAGCATCTCATAAGTATTCTGTTAAAGTTAGGTTATTATTTGGCTCATTATTTTAGATATTAAGGTCGAAACTTTCATTTTGAAGACCTCTTGCCAGAAAAGGAAAAATTGGTACGATACATCATCAAGTGTGTCTGTTTACCATTAACCGAAATGAGCTGTCATCCAGGCTGTGTGCGCGCAGTCACGGAGTAAAGCGCTGGTCGGGCACTTGTCACAGTCACAGAGCTGGACAGATGCAAACATTTAGAAAATCAGGCAAATATCTTTTCAGTTCAAGGCTTTATTGTTCTACTAATACAACTGAAATCTAGTAAGTGCACACCATGGCACTGGTGTCCCTGTTGGAAAGCAGCCTGCGTTGCTCTTTCACGAGCCAGCAAGTGAAACACTTTCACTTTCCATTAACGGCGCATTAAAATCGTCTTTAGTCTTTGCAGAGCAAATGAAGACCACACTGCATTGACTGAGATATAGGCTATTAAAAGTGTCCTGTTGTTGAACAGGTCATCGCTACACATCAGTTACTATCTGTTTCGATGTCCGACGGTGAGTCCATAATGTCGCCGGTGAAACTAATCTTTCACTCAGCAGCTACCAGCTGTTATTTTGTTTTTCAGATGCACAGAGAGAGAGAGAGCGCGCGCGAGAGAGAATATGGTGGATAAAACAGTCCTGTTGGGTTTTACGCATGACGCACAGCTTCCTCTGTATCTAGGTTTACCTGCTTCAACAATGAGCTGCTCTCCTGTTACTGCCACAATAATTCTTTGCGTTGTGAAGATTAATTCGATGCTTCAGGAATAATCACATTGTATTGGCAGTCTGTGCTACTGCAAAACAAGTGGTTAGGTTGGCTACATCTCCATAATAAAAGGCACACGTAACAAAAGTTGGCTGGGCAGCAAAAGTGATATTTTAAAGTGATCTTATAAACACCTTCATGGAGATTTTAAAAGGAAAATAATTGTAGAAATAGCTAAATTACAGATAATCAGCTTCTTCACTGCATTTGCAGGAACATTTTAATGGGCTACTTAAAATAACAAACTCATCAAGTTGCCTAGTCTAATGCAATAGACAGTCCATTTTTACTCTGATAGCCTATCTTGACCTTTCCTCATGTGGACACATAGGGGCTGTGCACAACAAAACATGCAAGAATTAAATCCCCACACTACCATGGATAGTAGTGGTGCAACGGGTTGCAGAATCCGTGGTATGGATCTTTTCCACACGGTGCGGCACGCAGGTGAACCGCGGATTGATAGCAAAGTTTATGAAATATCCTGTTTGACCTCTCAAAATATCCTTTATTCTGGAAATGTCAGAGAACCCAGTTAGATTCTGAATGTGCAAAACTTTGAACATGAGCAGAAAACCTGCTGAAACACAGGAGCTATTAAAGTCCTTGAGTTTATAACTGAATTTAAATGATTTAATTTAATTTTGATGGTGCCACATGCACATTTAAAGAGGTTACCTCAATCAGTCAGGCCTGTGTGTGTGTTGCAGTGATGATGAGGTTACCTCAATCAGTCAGGCCTGTGTGTGTTGCAGTGATGATATTAAAAGTTGATCTACAGGAGAAACATATCTGAAAGCAACCCAAAATGCCCAAGAACTGCTCTGCATTATATTCTGTTACAGTTTTAGATTTTAAATAGCTTTATTATACCTTTATTAAATCAGAAAAACTCTTTTTCCAAGGGTGTCCTGGCCAAGGCAGGCAGTAGTACAATTGCACATTTAAGATGGAAATAAATAATCAGTTACAAGGTCATAAAATATCAAAATGTTCTTAAATACTCACCACAATTCAGCAACACCTGAATTTTGTGTGTCCCTTTACATAAATAATTTCCACAATAAATTGATGCAGAAAAGGCAGAAATTGGTGTAGAAAAACACCAGAATGCAGGAAATTAAGTGTTTAACCCCCCTGTTCATACTGTCGCAGTTTTGTTGTTATATTATTATAATTAGACACATGACATTACAATTGAGCAACATCAAAATGAGACAGTTAATAGTGTTGTTCTGAGTTTTGTTGTGCCATATAAGTAGAGGATGTTTACTGTTGCTTTACTGCTTTACAGACTTAACTTTGGGGTGGGGTGGAGGTCAATTATTATGTGAAGATATTAAGTTTTATGGGCTGGGCTAAGCCCCCAGTGTTTCAAGATCCTAAAAACGCCCCTGGCTTTCTCTGTACTAAACGCCAGAGCTGTTAAGCTGATCAGAAATTAAAATGTGTTGTTTCCGGGTAAATTCCGTGATCCTGCTGCAAGCACGTTCGTTACTAGGTAACATGGATGCGTGTGCACACACGGAGTGAGTGGAAGTTGGAAGCGCAAGAACCGATGGATGCGGTAACTGTAGGTGTCGAATCTTTTTTTTTTCTTGGACGAAATCACTTGCCTGTGATCAAAGATATTGAGAGCAGCTGATGTTGTGGAGTATCCTGTAGCCAAATTCATGTTAAATAATTATTGAGGCAGACAAAAACTTTCCAACCTCTTACAACCAGAAGCTTTGGCTTTTTCACCCAGTGGTGAACAAAGTTACTTAGGCATATTCAGATCCTTTTTTCTTTTTTTTCGTTTAATAAAAGTACTAATAGGCCTATCTCGCTGTAAAAATACTCAAGTACTGCATTGAAAAAGTTAAGTAAAAGTATGTTATTAGGCTATAAGCAGGAAAATGTAGAAGTAGCCTATTAAAAATAAAAGTAGCATACTCAAAGCAGAAAGAAAAATGTCCCATATGACTGTTATACTATTAGCCTAGATATCGTATTAGATTATTATTCCTCATGCATTAATGTAGTTGGTTGTGGTTGAACTATATTTTATCAGAGTGCTATTAATGATTATTTTTAGTATTAATCAGCTGATTATTTTCTCCATTAATCGATTGTAATAAATTCTGAAAATAGTGAGAGAGCTCTGCGTGACACCTTGTATGCTTGTTTTGTCAGTTCATACCTCAAAATCAATAAAAACACATTAAAATAATAAAAAGTTAAAGCAAATCTTCAGGTTTGTAAAGCTGGAACCATGAAATGTTTTTATATGAAAAATGACAAATGCTAAATCAGATATACAATTCAGTTTCTGTCAATTAGCTTAACTGATGCAGCAGTTCTACTAGCTGTAACTAGTAATTGAAGGGCAAGTTCTGCGTGTACGATATACATTGAGCACTGCTGTGCATTGGGCTCGTTTGGGGCCAAATCTCTTGTTATTTATGATAGGCTACATTTGTATTTTTGAAATAAGTATCAACAGTCTTATCAGATTTACCTATTTTTATAATTTCTATTTGTTCGGGTCAATTATAAACTATAGGTCAAATTTAACTGTTAGTAAAAGCTTGAGAGAATTGGCTGGGGCCGAGGGGCCGCTGCTGCAAATATTTGAGTGGCTCCTCCTCTAACATGCGTTATCTCACTCCAAACTTTTGATAAAACTTGAGAGCCCTGCCTTCGCCCTTGCCTGGTCATGTAACTTTCTTCTGTATACTCTTCAGACATTTTCCTCTTTGCCTTTTTCTCGGCTATCTCTCCTTCTCTCCAGTGCCTGGAGTCCAGCATGTGTGCCGGTGTACAGAACTCTCTCTACCACTGTTCCTGTACACGAAAACTAACACCACCTGTTGCTGATTGGCTGGAACAATGTTTTAGGGAAGGTCCACACCATTTAATTTTTTTTCCATTTTCAGAGCCAGGGCTGTGTAGGAAAAGCAGATTTTTATCAGAGCACACACAATGCAGAGAACTGGCAAACCGTGAGGAAATATTCACTGAATTAACAAAAAGACTACTGGATTACAATCAGTTACAATCCATTTGAAGGGCAACAAGTTTGCTTGGTAGTATGAAATGCAGCTGTTGTGTGTTTTGAAGTGACTGCAACATAAAGTTCAATAAGGGGTTAGAATATGGTATGTTTTTTGAACTAATTAATATATGGTGCTATATCTTTTTTGTGCATGCAATAGGTTTGCAAACACATTGTGAACCATCAGTTAAAGAGTAGGCTACACCATTTATATGCTTTTTCTTCAATATCTCAATCATATTGCTTGTTGCCTGCTTATGCTTTGGCCTTTATTAAAATATAACATTGGAAAACTGAAGTCTTCTTGGTAACCTTTTTTTTAGTTAGTTTTGGTTGCTAGACACAGGAAATAACATTTAGTGGGAGGCACAAACCACAACAGCAGTTACATATACAAAAGACCAGTTGTGGATCAGAGTGACTGCACTGTAGTCAGCCATCAGCGTGCAGGGTATATGAGGAGGCCGGAGCTTTTCAACAATGAAAACTGTTGACAGCGAGGTCTGTGGATTAAGTTGATAATAAAAGCAAGTAAAGACATTCAAGGGTACAACAGGAGAAGGAGATAAAAGCTACAGACAGTCTCCTACTATCAGGTGTTTGTGTGAGTTTGACTTGAGATCTATCTGCCCACTGTCGTCCAAATTGCTGTAAACATCCTTGTTAATATCAATCAGCCAATAATGGAAAATATTGTGTCACTATAATTATGAATATTCTAGGGCTGGGCACGTTAACACATTATTATCGCATTATATTAATTAATTTTTTAATTAATTAATTAATGCCGACAATTATTTTATTGCACGTTAAAATAAGTTTTTAACTTAGTGAAGTCTGTGCAAGTGAACACACGCACATAAGACCACCGCTATATTATATATATTATATATATAATATATATTTGATTTGATTACATTAATGTATAAGTTGAGATTTACAAGAAATATTTTATTGCTACTGTGTAAAAGGAATGCGGCTGGTAAAAAGCACCTTATTTATTTAAAGTGTTTGCAAACCAAGTTATTGCACTTTTGTGTATAAAGTCAATTTTGTGCGTAACAATCCGATTAAAAAATGTAATCGTTCCGTAGAATATTTA